GCATCGGTGATCATTCCCGCATATCTCCATCTATCCTTACCGCTCCCTACCCCTTCCCTGTTTCTAACTTTGATCTTTCGGATCTTATTTATTTTAAATTCGATAAAGTTTGGTCTGAGCCATTTCCTATTGTCGCGTGCTCTACGTCGTATAATACGACATGACAATTATTATATGGCGTCGATGTCGATAAGGAAGGCACTACATCTAGTCACATAATCTCGAATTCGATCTGTACGTACTAGCTTTCACTTAAGAGGATTTAGGTAATGTCCGCGTATAGAAGATTGCTTTGGGGTAAAAATGTCTGCTGACGTCCAACAGATATTGTGTCGCTCTGAGCTAGCTTTATAAACAAACATGATTATGTTGTGCAATATTTATACTAGATGCACTGATTCATTTCTATGGGCCAAACAATTGACAGGAGAATTCAGCTGAGCGACCAGGGTGAGACAGTTTTAGAAGTGTCTGAATATTTGTCCAGTCTTCGTAAACAATACTAGGAGTTTTTTTACGAAGAAGCCCCTCGGGCTTTGTAGAATTCATCGCAGTACGCGGACACCGCCCAGTTCTGCGCAATATCTGGCTGGCCTTTTAGTTTTTGAGCTGAGTTTTGTGTGTGATAAACGTTTTATGTCCATCCACTTTTTGAACTGTGGCTTAAGCAAGCCAGTAGCAATCACTGCTCGGAGCAGCAAAAGCAAGCATTCGTGCCAGGTTCAGGTCTCCAAAGCGTTTCGCTAGCTCAGAAACAACTACGAATTCATCTGGGTCTTCGTCTAAACTGTTCAGCTTGTTGACGTACGAAATCCAAGTGACTACTGCCGGATCCTTGAAGAAGCTGAAATAACTTATATTGTCACGTTTCAGAGCTTCAAAAACATGACCTGCCGTTTTTCCTTGGCTTCTCCGCACTTCCTGCTCCAATTTCAAGACAAGGTCGCACGTATATTTTGCTTCTTCAAACATTTTTCTCACTCCGTCATCAATGTAGTTTTTTTCAGCACCGAATACATCTTCTCATCTGCACGTTACTCTTCCAATTTCGTCAGAAAATGATCATGAACTGGACTCTTGAAAAGCCGGTCGCCCTCTTGAGAATATTAACCAATGCCATCTGTGGTCACCTTTCATTTGAGCCAATCATCGAATTGGGCGTCTGAATTTGATAAGCAATAGATCCCGCCGTGACGTGAAGCACATGCCCCTTATTTAATTCTTACCTCAGTATAAATGATAAGCATCCTGACCGCTCTTTGACGCGTAATACAACCACGCTCTTAGAGAAGGATTCGTCAGCAGATCACCCTCATCTATTGTACGAAGATGTAGCAGTTTGAAGGCGTCGTCTGTCGTTACTCTCCCGCCCTTCCAGTTTTCAAGCAGCGTGTAATCCACCTTCTCAGCAATGGGACGTTTACTGCTATGCCGTTTTGCTGCGATTAGCATGCTAGCCAGTCCTTCGTCGTCATACCCTCTTTCAGTGTAAGCAGTTGCCAACGACTCGGACTCTTCTTTTTTCTCTTTTCGTAGTGCACCCAGGGCCTCAAGAGTGAGTTCTTGAAAAGATCATCATCGTGAGCGTTCAGCGACAAAAGACTAAAGACTTCGTCGGACATTTTATTTGAGCGAGCCAGTTGTCGAGCTTAATGGTCTCTTATTGACGAGCGATGGGCATTATCTGTTCTTCAGCTATAAATTTGGCTAGAGACACTTCGTTGTAGTGATTTCTCAATGTGGAGAGCATTTCCGCTTGGGCAGCTTTGGGATTCTTCTTGTAGACTTTGGCCACATACTCAGACTACTTTTAAAACGGGTCGCTCCAGAAAAGATCCCACCCCACCATTCCAACTTTGAACTTTTCGAAAATATTGTTTGTGGTCATCTGCTTATCCAAAGTCCGGCATGTCTTGACATTCGCTACTAGCATTTTCGATTTCTCTGAGCCGATCAAACTTTTAAGCTTCGCAGCGCCTGGTAGCTTGACGTTTAATGCTCTCTCTTTGGAGCTATCTTTATCGCCATCCACAACTGAGCTGGTGTCCGTCCTAATATGGTGATGACCATTAGCGTCCGCATCAGTTTTAAAAGTTTCTCTCTTGGCGACAACCGTAACCACGGCTGAACTAGCGTTGACGCCACCTAGAAGTGTGACAATTAGCGAAGCAGTGGAAACCAATCAGCTGGCTCGGCTTGCGTCGGAGTCAGCCAAATGAGTACTTAGAGGTAAAACATGCATGACTGATTCCTCTACTGGAACGTCGCAGAATATTTAGATGCCAGAACTGTCAGTTGCTATTGAATTCAATTTGGATGTTGCTGAAGTATGCATCTCCGACGGGATATGCTATATCGAAGTCACATCAATGCTATAAGAAAGACTTCCGTATTTTAAATTAACCTGCACATCTATAAATATTAACGAGAAGATCTCACTTCTCCTTTTATCAAGTCCTTCACAAGTCCAATATACAAAATTCTCCAAGACTCTCGACTCTTACTATCTTCAGCTGCCCTAACACCTCTTCAAATCACTTACTTCAATAGGTTAGAAAGGGATTACTAATAAGACCAGACATTACATATTCCCAAAATGTCTAAAATACAAGCTGTATGGATAATAAAAGCAATCTACATATCATGGATATATTTTTTTTGTTGAGTGTATGTACTCCAGCGCTTCATTTGATTTTGTAGTCATGTACTTCTCGCTAGCGTTTTTAAAACTATGACGTTACAAAACGAGGAACACTCGAGAGGCCACTAGGGAGAAAATCATGCCCCAAAGACGTGAGCCTGTGTACAAAACGATCAGGGCGTGCGCCTACCAATGATATGGTATTGGAGTCGTTATTGCTCTTAATATAAAGATTAAGCTGTGATCAATGCTAAAACATTTTTAACATGTCAAAACAAAATCACTAAAATATTTTACCAAAACTTGGGAAACTAGGAGGCAACATCAAACAAAAAACGTTAAACATCTATCAAAGAATAAATTAAAGTCAAAAGAGAAAAGCGTTTTGAGACATCAAATGTGCAGTAGACAAGCTACATAATGTACCTGCTTGTACCACAAACCTTGCTCTTATTCTCAGCTGCTTGAGCAACAACTCTCAATTGAGCTCGTACGTACCTGTCTAGGAACGCTTTACAATCGTAATCACGTATTAAACCGAATATAACAGTTATAGAGACCGAAAAATCTCTCGTTAGGGATAATAAATCCCTCGAAGATTTTATTAGCTAGCGCAGTATGATATTGCGATGTACAACTTACCCACAAAGCTGTAGGGTTGCTGTCCATGTGGCTCGAACAATAAGTTGTTGTCTTGATTTAATATAATCATACGACATTAAAACCAATACATTTAGTATTTGTTTGATCAATTCCTGAATTAAGCGTTTAGCCAAACTGAGAGGCTCGTATCGTTAGTTGAAATACTAAACATAAGATTCACAATAAAAGGATACAACGATTTTACCGACTTAAGTACTACAGTTTAACGAGCATACAAAATGCGTTGATATATTTTAACCGTCGTAAAGGGCCCTATACGTATTGCAAGCAATAGACACGAGAAAGGGAAAATTCATTTTACAAGGAACAAAAGTAACAAGTTACATGCTAGGCGATCTTTATGATTTGTTTTTACTAAAGAAACAAAACCAACATCGAAATGCAAATATACCATACACCGGAATCATTCCAGCATTACAACAATAAATAATTGTTAGAAACACTCAAATCAAACTCCAAAAGGTGTCAACCAACTCTCAAAGCGTTTCCTCGGTGTGGGAGGCGTCCAATGTAGCCATCTCGATACGATCCTACGATTGGTCCATTATACAAACTACTTGACTAAACCATGTTGAAACAACCTTACTTACAATATTTATAAAAGTGAAGTGCAAAACCTCTGGCAGTATTTCCTCTGAACGTGAAAATAAACTCCACGTGTAAGGACTTTTTCGTCTCATAATATTTATACTGCAGTAAAAAGAGAAATCGGTCTATTACAGACTCACACTTGCAATTAGATGTCTGTCAATATATTTGGAATGACACATTTTGTCGCTAGCGCTGCTGAAAAAAGTATTAAATTCAAGCGTAAATAAACGTCGTCTATTCACCAGCAATTTATTGGATCAGATACTATAGCACCACAATACAGGCTTCGGGCACGGAACCACCTTCAGTGCCACCCCGTTCGCCTCGATCACGACCCATGATAGTGCAACGGTCTTCGTTCTCGCCGGTGCGGCCGTTTTTTCTTAACCACGCCCAATGCTTGATGGGCCTATTTAATAAAACAAAGAGCCATAGCCATCCGTCAGTGACGAGCTACAATAAGCTGCAACCAACTCAGCACTCACCTTAAACAGCCAGCGCTCTATCCATCGCGTCGCTAACGACACGATCAGTATCGCCTGCCTCCCCACTCACAATCGTATTATGCATTTGTCGTGCTGCTGGCGGCTTTGTGTTGATGGCACATTCCCTACGAAGTACTACCAGCCGAGCTCCCCGGTACACGTGCCCTTTAAGTAATCAGCTAGGTTGGCAAGTAAAAGTCGTGGAACGTTTGCCAGCACGTCCGGTTTGTGTTCGGGCAACACCATGGCTTGTGATTTTTGTCTTGAACGGTACTACACTAGCACACATTGTGCAAATGACAGTAGTAGGTTATCTCTATAGCGTATCGACCATCCCACCGTCCAATTATACATCGTCTTCGCTTTCGATTCTGGACCGCACGCATCTGTGGGGGCGAAGCAGAGGTGTATCGTGGTACCGGTCTTGCAATTGCTGCTGACGTATAGTTGTTGAGATCCTATTTCCGCCACAGTCAGCACTTTGGGCCCTTTCCGTCCGTAAAAGCATGCACCCACCGACCGCTGTTGAGCTCTGTAACTAATTCAGTCATAAAGACTCTTTGATGGTCCCAAGCAGTGGACTCAGGTGTTGACAAACTCTACACCTTTTCAACTTCAAAATGGCGACAGGTAAAATCAAAGTGACAAAACGTAAGTTCAAAATGACATGACACTGACACTTAATATTTATGGGAGTATTTACGTTTGGAGCTCATTAGATGAAAGAGGCAAAAAGTGGCGGCCACTACTCCCGCCAATTTTGGTGGACGCTGGCTGGCTGTACGGCGTCGATGGAATCAGTGGACACTGTTGCTGCAGTTTGTGGCCGCACTGCCTTTCATTCATTTAGCAATTCTCACTGTGCTTCCTACCCACACAGCAATGCTGTACGACGACGCTACCGTTCACCGGGTTCTCCGTGCAGCTCACGAAGGCCAAGATTGGCGCGATGTCGCGCTCAAGAACGATGTCAAGCTTCGCACTGCTTACCGATGGATCAATGCGGCCGAGGACAGCGGCAACTGGGAGGCTCTGCCTCGAAAGCCTCGTGGTGGTAAGCGCCACAGCAAGATTCAAGACGAGCACGTCGACTACCTAGTTGGTCTCATCGACGACAACTGTTACATCACGCTGGATGCGCGTGCGATCCAGATGAAAGATATGCCTGTAGGAGAATAAAGACAATATCAAGTTTGGCTTTGCTGGCTCCTATGTTCGATGTCATTTTGAACTTACGTTTTGTCACTTTGATTTTACCTGTCGCCATTTTGAAGTTGAAAAGGTGTATATCAAATGAGCGCAAGCTTCTTGGACCAGCGCTTATAGCTGTGGCCAGTGGCAATAGAGAATCGACTACGTGTGTGGTCCACATCACATGTTTTGGTTATAGTCTTTAGATGCAAGGCGATCCAGCGCCTGCTTTCCAACTGATCTAATCAAGGTCGACCTGGTAGAGGCATCTGCATTGGACACCATGTACACGATACTATTAATACCATCACACCAAGCCGCGGCCACCATCTTGAGTTCCATCGAAGCCGCCTGACGCATGTCACCTCGCGCACAGTTGTCATCCTTGCTCAATGTGTTGTGTGTCCTGGAAAGGGCCTGCTGTTGCAGCGTATCGTGACAACCCTTTCAAACGTGGTACTTGAAGAACTTGCACGGATGCATTGTAATTGTCCATATTCATAGTTCGATTGGTGCTAAACATTGGACGCGCCACTTTAAGTACATGCTGTCGGATATTTGAGACTGCTGCCAGCTCGTCGCTCAGCCGCTGAGCTTTTTCCGTCCCTACGACACCGTTCAGACGATCTTTGATATCCCTGCGATTGTCAATTAGTCTTAAATTGAGCGAAACCCACGTATAAGAGCCGCGCAAAATAAAGCGGTTCTTGCCAGCAGGCTTGCTCGGGCTGTACACAATCACATGACGTCCGCAAGCCACACTGGCTTCGTCTAGCGCCCCATTTCTCCCGACCATAATGCACTTGTCACAGGTTGTCTTGAGCAAGTTCAGCAGCTGTCTGGCGCTGGCGGCAGCGGCTTTTGCTGCGTAGAAGGAGTAACATTGAAAAATTAGGCACTGCCTGAGCAGCTTGAACCGTTTCAAAGAGAAGATACCATCGCAAGATGTCGACTTTCCGCCAAATATATCCTTTTCTGGTTGTGCACCCAAGTAATTCGCATACACCCCCTTCTTGTTCCAAGACATAAAAAAAAACATGACCCAAAAACTTCATTAACTCTGGAACTCGCTGAATACTCGAACAGGTACATGTAATCCGGGCGAAGATAGGTAGTTGTTGATGCGTATAGAGATCTTGCAGAACTTCCGATGTCACTACCGGATCAAATGCATACTAGGAGCTGCCGCCACCTTGACCAGACGCGTTGGAAGCAGCTCCTTGGGGTCATACGCTTTATAAACGTCCGCCTCATACGGATCAGACGCGTCCTCAATGGCAATGACATCCGATTCGTCACACCCAACCGGTCCTGCCAGACATGGCTGTTTTTACCTTTTGTTAATGCTCGATACTTGTCAATCACCAGCGGAAAGGTGCCGACGCTAAGAATCTCGATGCTGCTCTGGAATTGAGTGTGTAGCCACTGCATCTGAAGCGTGACTTCACTATACTTGGCTCTCTGACACATTCTTCCGGCGGTATATGCTGTACCCATAGTTGGTAGACCTTCTTCGTCGTCCAAGGCCCTTTCGACGGAGAGAACGCCACAAATTGATCGATATACAGCTGATGTAGGAGAACGGATGGTGTTGATGATGTAGCTAGTTGAGACACCCAAGGTTGTTCATCGTCCATAAGTTTCGACGAGGCCATCGCGGCGTTTTGGTCTTGTAATGTATAAGGATTTAAGTCAGACGTGCCAATAAAAACGCATACAAACTAGCCCTTACTTTGAACAGCCAAGGCACCATTTCCGCCACGACCGGAATACGCAGGTCTTGTACTGTCGTGGAGAGGACCACGGCCAACGCCACCACGTTGAACACCAGCGCCACGTTGTCTGTCTTGGCTGGTGCGCCATGTTCTCTACCGCGCACAACGCATACTGAATATGCATAACAGAACCAAGATACATACACATTCGTCAGTCGCACGCTGTAATCAGCTGCAAATTTGCGCAACACTGATTTCCTCCTCTGGCGCTGCGTGCATCTCCACATCGGCGTCGCTGCCGCCACGACCGAAAATCGCAGGGTTTGTACTGTGGGGACCCCGGGCACGGCCAACGCCGCCGCGTGTACCTCTACCACCTTGTCTTCGTCCCCAGTCAGCATCACTGCCATGTTGGTCGTTCCGGCTGGTTTTACTACGTTATCCGCAGCTTATACTGGTGACTAGAGCCGTAATGAACCGTTAGTTGAGTCCTGAAGCGTTAGAATGTAAATAAAGTGCAAATATTGCACTTCCTCTGCCCGCAAATATAAGCGGGCTACTTGTCTAAACTGTGTTCGAAAATATTAGCGGCTCTTTTACAAATACAAGTCATTAAAGAATATCGATGTATTTCGGCTTAGTGCGCTCATACAATTGCTCTTATTGTTGGCAGCCACTGCTGATCCGAGTTAAAGCGTTACGCGCTCTCAGTAGCACCATTCAATAGGCAATGGCAGGTTTTACGTCTCTACAAGTTTTCACGTCACCCAATTTAAAAATGACGGCCTAGCAAATACTATTGATCTCCAATTCGACGCCACAAAATTTGCGTCATCATATCTTTGTGACCAAGTGGCTGATTTGATTAAAACTTCGACCAGAATATTCACCATAATCCGAAACGTAATTTGGACGAATCAGCTGCCAGTTTAGCGCTTTCTGATTATCAAAACTAATTTCGACCGCTCTTACAGCTTATGCTTTCGGACAAAAGGTGGTACTAGCATTGTGTTGCTGACAGGTAGCTGCAGCTCATCTTTTTCCGAGGCGTACTTAACCACCAAAGCCGCTCTAAGGAGGAAGTATTCACCTTCTGTTCCTCGTGGATCGCCTCTTGGCTTAATGTAGCGGTATCGGCTGTCCAGGCCTCGGCTTAAAGGGATTTTTGGTGTCCAACCTGCCTTTTGTCGCGTACCCGGGAACGGAGGGGTCATTCCAGGAGCTCTGCCTCCCGTCGGGATGACTCGAGACCCTGGAATCACTCCTCACTCCGCCGTCCCGTCAGGGTGGTTCCCGTTGAACTCAACCACGCACGTGCCCCGGACCGAGCCCGTTAGGGTGGCCCTATAAGGGGCCCCAGAACGCCGGAGTCTTGGCGTCGTGTGACCAAAAGCACCTCGCGACATCAAGCCCCTTCCCAGAAGCTCTCCGTTGTCCCACGGAGGCCGACAACAAACGAAGTGAATCCTTCCTTTTTCTAATATGTAGTGTAGTGTATGTAAGGTCGAGAAGGCGTTAGGCCTCTCTTCCGGTTAGCTCTCAGCCTTATATTTCCCTCCTTCTACTCAAGAGGAAGCCAAGCCAATCAACAAACTTTTATTTTCAACTCTCTAGTGTTCCTATCTACCGTTCCTGCAGCCACTGAACAAGACCGTACTCCCTGAACAGCCGCGGACTACCCGACCCTTGAAGGAAGAGGAGGTATACGACATCTGGTGGAGAAGCAGGGTAGTCTGCTAGCTAGAGAAGGTCTTGCTTCAAGTGAAGTCTCGCGGATAACGTCAGAAGGAAGGACAAGATGTCGGCTACTAGCAACAGAGAAGATGAGAGGGCCACTGTCCGGGAAGAAGAAGGCCCGACCGATAGTCTGCCTTCGAGAATGCGACCCAGTCTGTCGACTACGCAAGGCCTCCAAAACGTGCAGAATATCATAGACCAAGCGGCTAACCGACTTGGGGGGAACAACTCTAGTGCTGGTGTCGAGCCACCCCGCGGACGCTTTGGGCTCCGGGGTCCCTGCGACCTTCACTTCGGAAGAGTTGGACTCGATGCTGACCTTGAACGGCGGAGGCGGCCGAGGTACGGTGCAAGGCTGGCTTAACTCCCTCAAGTGGTTGAGATCCATGGCCCCTCCTGAAATTGCCGCCGCTATGGAGAGAACTGGTGGGAACGGTCTCGTGGGGACTCCCCCTCCTACGACTCGAGTAAGGACTGCAATCCCGTCGTACCAAGGTTTCACAATCCGAACCCCGAATACGTCATATGGGCAGGACTTCAACCCGTTCTTCTCCCTACCAACTGTCCCTGAAAACGGTGGACGTGCTTCCCCGGCAAGTATTCCTCCGAGGACCTCTAACGCTCCTCCTTGGGGTCTCCAGCCCTCGAGTAACTTGCGAGGTGACGGGGAGAACGCTCCAGCAGTAACCGTTCCCGTTCCTCAGAGGGTTCCTTTCCAGACCTCGTCGCCTACCTTTCAAATTCCAACCCAAGGCCCGGGGTCTCGAACTTCGATTACCAGTGGAGTCGCGTACGGAGTCGACCCTACGAGAACAACCCGAGCTTCACAAGGAAACGGAGGAACTACGGCTTCTGCCGGAACCCATCAGGGTCTTGCGTATGGGGAATATGGAGGTAACTCCTACTACTCCTCGCCTACGTATGGTAATACGCCTTCGACTACTAGTGGCCAGTACGGTATGCCCACTAACATCCGAAACGCTATTCGCATGCTCCAACCCTTTTACTCGGAAGGAGCGTCGGTGGAGAAAGCTAGATCCTTCTGGGAGGCCTTCGAGAACGCCACTATCGGGCTGGACGAACCCCTGCGTCTTAGCGCTTTCAGGGAGTGCTTGAAAGGCAAGGTCGGCGAAGATTGGTGGATGTACTCGCGCATCAACAGCTTTGAGGCTCTGAGAACTCGATTCCACAACCAGTTCATCAGTTAGACCCCTTTGCAACTGGTTGAGAACCTGAAGAACACTAAACGACCCAAGGGAATGTCCGCCGAAGTGTGGGGCGACATGATTTCAAGTCTCTGCGATGATGCTCAGTGCTACGACACTCAGATGCGTTACCAGTACTTCTTGTCTGGACTTCGGAACCGAGATTGGACGAACGCTCTCACCACGACAATGATTGACTCCATCCCTGCGGCTGTGGCCATGCTGCTCCTTAAGAATATGCACCGTCCGGTTGAAGACGACTCCGAGTTCGACAATGTGCCGTCGCCTAAAGCTTCCCAAGAGAACGCTGTCCTCGAACGCATGATGAACA